TTTATTGCTTGACAAAATTGGAGTGATCGAAATTTTTAATTCACTCGATTCAGCGCATCCAAGTTTTATGAGCCGTAATGAGAGGGTGAACTGATGAATAGATTATATCCATCATTTGATTCTCAGCAATATCAAATCCGCTTTGGCATCACGATAAAGTGATTTTAATGATTCGAAAAAGAAATAAAAGCACAGTATGACAGGAATGAAACCTCATTTCAAAACATCACATTAATGCTAAATAACCCGAAAAACCTCAGTTAAAATCAATCATCTTATTGATATCGATTGATCATCAATAGATCATACCGATGAGGATGAACGCTTGAAATGCCAGAAAACCACCCTTTGAAAGACTGCCTTTGTGAATCAAAAACGAACACCTTAAAATAAGCATGCTCTCTGATTGGTAATATTCAATTGAGTAGGGCTTAATTAATCTGAGGAACCAAGGTTGGAAGGAATGCCAGCAAAAGTATCAAACCCAAATAAGTCACGTATAAAAACATTTTAAAAAACCGTCAACGCCTCACATCCACCTCAAGATACTGAATGTCTTTGAAAGATTCCATAGTTACTACTCGTTCTAAGCTAAGGTTTTATCTTGGTGTAATGAAGTTATATTTTGTGAACGTTGAATTTTAACGGAACATTTCGCTCACCCTCAATATAATAACTCTCCAAGCACATTCAGCTTATACCTGGCGACTTCCTTTTGACTACAATTCAGTCATCAAAGTTGATGTTGATATGAGCAATGTTCGTTCAGAATGGCGTGTGCCGGACCCTCCAGAGAACGTTCGCTGTAAAACCAACTCGGAGAGTGCAACCCTGTGGTGGGAGCCACCGTCGTCAATAAATGAGATTCTCGTTCGCGGCTACACAATTTCGTATGGTATCGGCACTCCAAGTCGTCGAGTGATCATCGAAGGCGCATATACGAACGCCTTTACAGTTAACGGCCTAAGTTAGCGTTTACATCTCATTTCCACATAATCATATCCTTCAGTTACTCATTTAAATGCCTTCAAATATGCTTCCAGAAGTCCGCTCACAATTCCAAAAGCACTTATTCCCGAATTTTTATTGTCTTTTTTATCCAGTTTTCAAATGTTCATTTCCTTCGTTTTCCTTGGCGAGCTCGTCAAGC